CAGGGACAGTGGGTGGCAGCAGGAGGGGGGACCCCGGGGCGCGGGGCGTGCTGGGGGTCCCGGGGGCGGCGTCAGCGGAGGGCAGCCCCACCTGACTGCGCCCTCCCTCCCCTGCAGCCAGTGCAGCCACAGCCATGTCGGGCTTCGATGACCCCGGGATCTTCTACAGCGACAGCTTCGGGGGGGACCCCGGGGCCGAGGACGGGCAGGCGCGGAAGTCCCAGCTGCAGAAGCGCTGTAAGGAGTTTCTGCGCCAGTACCGTGTGGGCACTGACCGCACCGGCTTCACCTTCAAGTACAGGTGCGAGCCCGGGCACCGCGGACAGTGGAGGCCGGCACCCCGGGCCGGGCTGGGGGAAACCTGGAACGGGGGATGTCAGATCTTTGAAGAGGGGATGACAGCTGGGAGGAGGGGCCTTAGAGGCCAGAGCTGGCTGGTCTAGCACCCTCATTTTACAGAGGAGGACATTGAGGCTCAAGGTCGCTGCGATGAGGGGCAGGGCCAGGCTTCTAGCTCCCGAGGCAGCCCTGCTTTCTCATATCAGGCTGCAGAAAGGAGGACTCTGCCTCCGTGAGCTTAGAGGGCATCTGTGTGCCAGTCAATCAGCATGCATTTATTAAGCACCTACCATTTACTAGTCACTTTACTAAATGCTGGGGATACAACGAGAAGCAAAAAGTAGGGTCCCTGGAAACCTTCTGGAGGTGGAGAACACTAAGGAATGGGGGAGGGGGCAGGCAGGGAAGGCTTTCTGTAGGAGGCCTCTGGTCCAACTAGCGCGGAGATCTAGTCCAGAAGAAAAATACCAAACCCCATTTACTGCCTAAAGCAGCCTCCCTGGGTTTCCTGTGGTGTGGAATGCAACAACCACATAGTGAGGCCTTCTGTGTCCAAAGCCCTGGGCTGAGCGCTAGGAGGGATATAAAGGTTGGAGTCCTTGAAGGAGTGAAAGAAGAAACCTCTTTTATGCACTTGGTGTGCTAAAGTGGTTGGACTAGAATTCCATCCACAAGAATGGCCCCAGATCCTGACCTTCAAATGACGATAAACAAGATATTTATAAAGTGCTTAGCAAAGTGGCTGACATGAAGACGTGCTTGATAATCCTTTCTTATTTCCCTCCCTCCCAACCAGCCAAACTCCCTTCTTCCTTTTCTCCCTTCCCTCTTTCCTTTTCTTCTTCCTTCCCTTCCTCCCTTTTCTCTAGGAACTTCAGTTTATTGGGGAAAGACAGCGTGTCTGGAGGAGGGTGCTTTGGCCTGGGAAATCCGAGGGCTGGGGAGTTTTAGGGAGTCCTGGGGAGCTGTGGTTCGTTGACTGACTGTCAGCCCTGGGGGTGGGGGGCATGTTGTGTGGGTTTGGTGAGATGTTCCCAGAGCAGGGGTCAAAAGCTCGAGAGGGGAGGGGGCACGGCTGCGTGGTGGCCCGGCTTGACCCTGGCCCCGGGCCCAGGAGGGAGCATTCGTGTCTCCTGGTCACCTGGGTGGCTTCTACCTCTGAATCCTCTGCCCTGTGTGTCTTAGAGATGAGCTCAAACGCCATTACAACCTGGGTGAATACTGGATCGAGGTCGAGATGGAGGACCTGGCCAGCTTCGACGAGGACCTTGCGGACTACCTGTACAAGCAGCCGGCCGAGCACCTGAAGCTGGTAAGGCTTCCTGGTGGTTCTGCCCTTCCCCCCCCATCCCCATCATTGCTCTGCCCTCTTCACTGCCCCTCCATCCCCCACTCCAGCCCCTCCTGCTGGGCTGCCCCCCCCCCCCCCCCCGCAGGAGCAGGTCCTGACAGCCTGTCCATCCTCCCTTCTCCCAGCTGGAGGAGGCCGCCAAGGAAGTGGCCGATGAGGTGACCCGGCCGCGGCCCGAGGGGGAGGAAACCCTGCAGGACATCCAGGTCATGCTAAAGTCCGACGCCAGCCCCGCCAACATTCGGAGCCTGAAGGTGAGCGGGTCGACGGGGGGAGGCAGTTGGGAGCATGGCAGGAGCTGCCCCAGGGGCCCATGTCAGTGCGATGGGATTGAGGTGCTTTCCCCAGCGTTGTCCTCGTCCTGTGTCCCAGTCTTCAGGTCCTGGCTCTGGAGCGGGACAGGGCCCACTTTACAGAGGAGGAAACTGAGGCCCAGGGAGGGGAAGTGACTTGTCCTTCTCCTATACAAATGCGATTTCACTCCCGCCCCTTTGGGCTCCCAGCACAAGCAGCTTCACTCCCATGTGCACGGTGTAATGATAGCTGCAGACGTGAGATCTGCCCTCACCTGGGAGCGCCTCGGCAGCCTGGACGGGTTTCCTTCCTTGTGCTTGTATCTGTAGCATCGAGCACAGTGCCTGGTACACAGGAGGCGATCAATAAATGCTTCCTGAATGTCTCAAGGAGTCTGTAGGGTGCCCCTGAGACCATGGAGGAGAGCGCCTTCCAGCAGTCAGTTTTGATTAATGTCAGCGATGCCTTCTCAGGCAGACTTTCAGGTCTGCCTAGGTGGGTAGGGAAGGGAAAGAAGGAAGCGAGCATTTATTAAGCACCTTCTGTGTGCCAGACACTTTGCTGAGACTTTGTAAATATGATCACATTTGATCTTTACCCCTGTCCTGGTAGATAATGCTATCATTACCCCCATTTTGCAGTTGAGAAAACAGGCAGATGGAGGGAGGTTAAGTGACTTTCCCAGGGTCACACAGCTAGTAAATGTCTGAGGCTGGATTTGAACTTTGCTCTTTTGTACTCCATTCCCAGTCCTCTATCCGTTGTAACACCTAGCTTTCTTGGTATAGTAGGTGGTGAGTTCCCTGTCACTAATGATATTCATGCAGATGCTGAATGACTGCTTCTTTGGTTTCCTCATCTGTAAAACGAGGGAGTTGGACAGGATGATTTCTTAAGTCTGTAATTCTCAAAACCTGAATGGTTTAATGTGGAAAAGAGATTAGCCTAATTGGTGTTAGGTTAGCCTGATTGTTAGCCCAGGTCTCCTTCTAGAAGGTGGAGCCAGATGTGGGACAGGCTGCCTCAGGAGGTAGTGAGTTCCCCATTGGGAGAACTCTTCAAAAAGAAGATAGATGGCCACTTGTCTGTCATGTTGTAAAGGGGATTCCATCTCAGAGGGTCTGGGATTCTAAATGTAGTGTCAGTAGAGACTGGAACTCAGGTCTCCTGCTGTCCAGTCTGGGCTTTTTTCTGCGGCCCTGCAGAGTGGAATGTAAGGAGGGATCAGGTGGGATGGCCAGATATCCACTCTTTTTCTCTTTTTCTCTCTTCCTTCATTTCTCCCCCTCCTTCCTTCCTTCCTTCCTTCCCTCCCTCCCTCCCTTCCTCCCTCCTTCCCTTCCTCCCTCCCTCCCTCCCTTCCTCCCTCCCTCCCTTCCTTCCATCCCTCCCTCCCTCCCTCCCTTCTTTCCTCCCTCCTCCTCCTCCTCCTCCTTGTCTCCATCTTCCATCTGTGCGATGTAGGGGATGGACTGACTGGACGCAGCTTGTGGCTCTGAATCTCTGCTCTTTCCCCCTCTGGCCTGCTCTCAGAGGGTCCCGGGGGCCTCGTAGGGGCCGGTCTTGCCTAATCTCCCAGTGTTCTTTCTCCCCCTAGTCTGACATGATGTCCCACCTGGTGAAGATTCCGGGCATCATCATTGCGGCCACGGCGGTCCGCTCCAAGGCCACCCGGATTGCCATCCAGTGCCGCAGCTGCCGTAACACCATCAATAACATCAGCGTGCGCCCGGGCCTGGAGGGCTACGCTCTGCCTAGGAAGTGCACCACGTGAGTCGGGAGCGTCCGGGCCGCCTGGGCTGGACCTCGGGCTCTTCTTGCCTCCTCGGCGGGGCTCCGTCAGCAGGGCCCGGCGGGAGGCTTGCCCTGGGCCGCGTGCTGGGGGCAGGGTGTCTGGAGTGTGCTCTGGGGAGCCCGGGAGACCTCGTCCTGACCGTCTTGCCTCCCGCCCCCACCTCCAGGGATCAGGCCGGGCGCCCCAAGTGCCCGTTGGACCCCTACTTCATCATGCCCGACAAGTGCAAATGTGTGGACTTTCAGACCCTGAAGCTCCAGGAGTGCCCAGACGCCGTGCCCCACGGAGAGATGCCTCGGCACATGCAGCTCTATTGTGACAGGTGAGGCCTGGGAGTGTGTGCGGTGTGGTGCTGGGAGGCACCACCTTGGAGCATGTTTGTGGACTCCCATGTGCGTGTTGGGTCTCCCAAATGAATGCAAACCCCCTTCGGGCAGGAACTGTGTGGTTTTTCTCTTTATGTCTTCAGCATCTGGCACATGGGAGGTGCTTAATTTATGTTTGTTGATTGATAGCTGAGGGATCCTGCCTGGCTTTGGAATGGGGGCCTAGACACGAAGGAGCCTGGAGGTGAAAAGGAAGCGTCCTCTGACCCCGAGCGTATGGGACGAGCTCGGAGTCTGTGAACGCCCCATCCCGTTCCCGACTTTCACCGTGTCTTTGCCTGCCTTCGTTCTCTCTTCCCAGGTACCTGTGTGACAAGGTCGTTCCTGGCAATCGAGTCACCATCATGGGCATCTATTCCATCAAGAAGTTTGGCATGAACTCGGCCAAGGGCCGCGACCGGGTGGGCGTGGGCATCCGGAGCTCCTACATCCGTGTCCTGGGCATCCAGGTGGACACCGATGGTTCAGGTGAGCAGGCCCGGAGATGGACGACAGCACTCTGTCACCCAGTCTGGGGGGCGTAGCATCGAAAGCTGGCACCAGCTGTCCTCCCTCAGAGATGAGGGAACCCGAGGCCCGGAGGGAGGGGGAGCCCTGGTCCAGGGTCTCATAGGACGCAGCAAGTGTGTGGCAGAGCCAGGGTCTGAACCCAAGCCTGCCCACTCCAGATCCTTCCATTTGCCCATTCCTCTGCACTGCCAGTTATGTGACTCTGTGCTCCCCTAGAGCATGATGGGATGGGCGTGGGAGAGACTAGAGTTGTGGGAGTCTAGGTGTGAATTAGGGCGTGGGCTGTGGAGATGCATGGGTGGGTGGATGAGTAGATAAATTGGTGGGTGGGTAGGTGGATGGATGGATGGATGAGTAGATAAATTGGTGGATGGATGGATGGATGGATGGATGAGTAGATAAATTGGTGGATGGATGGAAGGATGGATGACTGGATGGATGGGTGGGTGGATGGATAGATGAATGGATAGGTGGGTGAATGAATGAATGGGTGGATGGATAGATGAATGGATAGGTGAGTGAATGAATGGGTGGATGGAAGGATGGATGGATGGATGAGTAGATAAATTGGTGGATGGATGGATGAGAAGATAAATTGGTGGATGAATGGGTGGAAGGAGGGATGGATGGATGAGTAGATAAATTGGTGGATGGATGGATGGATGATTAGATAAATTGGTGGGTGGGTGGATGAATGGATGGATAGATAGGTGGGTGAATGAATGGATGGGTGGATAGATGAATGGATAGGTGGGTGAATGGATGGATGGATGGGTGAGTAGATAAATTGGTGGATGGATGGATGGAAGGGATGGATGGATGAGTAGATAAATTGGTGGATGGATGGATGGAAAGAAGGATGGATGGATGCATGAGTAAATAAATTGGTGGATGGATGAATGAGTAGATGAATTGGTGGATGGATAGGTAGGTGGGTAGATGAATGGATGGGGGAATGAGTGGATGCATAGAAGGGTAGGTGAATGGGTGGGTGGGTCGGTGAGTGGATGGATGGATGGATGGATGAATGGGGGAACGGATGAACAAACATCAGTCACTTCATGCCTGCTGGGCACAGTGCTAATGCTGGAGATACACATGCAAAAGCAAGATAGTGCTTCCCCTCCAGGAGCTTACATTCTGTTTATTCTAACTTAAACACCAGATAAAACGGGCATTTCCATATACATAATAGAACAGAAAAAGCAGATGGGACGTGAAGCTGTGAGGCTGTCTATGTATAGCGTGCTTTTCTTTTAAACAAATTCTTGATTTTCAAGGTCTTTCATGCCCATCTGGGCAGCGTGTAGTGGGGGAGTGGTAGCCCGGGTTCTGGGGATAGAAGGGAGCACTCTGGTCCCACAGACGTGATGAAGGAAGAACCGCTAATGGTGACAATGTTGGAAGGATGGCTAGACTGGGAGTCAGGAGGTCTGAGTTCTCATCCCAGCATTGCCTTGGGTTTGCTGTGTGGCTGCAGGCCAGACACTTGTCTTCCTGAGGCCTCAGTTTCCACATCTGTGAATGAGTTTTGGCTCATTGACCTCTGAGGTCAGCTGCGACTTCTGCGAGGCGTGTGGCTCGGTGGGGCAGGACTGAGAGGTACCACTTTTTAGCCTCCCCGTGACTTTGGCCATGTGTCTGATTACTTGGTTCCTAACAAAAAGGCCCCCCGGCTATCCAAGTGACCTTGAACAAATCTCGTTCTTTTTCTGTAAAATGGGGGGGGGGGGGCTGGACCTGAGTCCGCGACTTAGCAGCTTTTTTTGACCCGGACGAGCTGCTTCCCTTGCGTGGGCCTCAGTTTCCTCCTCAGTCACGGGGGCTTGGACGAGGTGGCGTCTGGGGTCCCTCTGGCTCTGGGGCTGCGCTCCCCTGACCTCGGTGGCCCCGGCTCACCCAGACTTTCCCCTCCCCCAGGCCGAAGCTTTGCCGGGGCCGTGACCCCCCAGGAGGAGGAGGAGTTCCGGCGCCTGGCGGCCATGCCCAACATCTATGACGTCATTTCCAAGAGCATTGCGCCCTCCATCTTTGGGGGTGCAGACATGAAGAAGGCCATCGCCTGCCTCCTCTTTGGGGGCTCCCGCAAGAGGTGAGGGGACCAGAGGTGGGGGGGCCTCCTGATAGGTGGTGCCCCCGCCCCGGTCCCCGAGCCCCCAGAGCGTTCCAGGCAGAGGAAGCCGACATCGGGGGGGAGGGGGTCCCTCCATTCCACGCCCTGGGCTCTCCACCGGCTTGCTCGTTCTGGGTGGATTGCAGAGCCTTTCTGTTGTGGGGCTCGGCATGGGGGGGGTGCCCAGGATGACAGGCAGGGCCCCTCCCCTCACCATCGGTCCCTCACTCTCTTCCCAGGCTCCCGGATGGGCTCACCCGCCGGGGAGACATCAACCTGCTGATGCTGGGCGACCCTGGCACGGCCAAGTCTCAGCTTCTGAAGTTTGTGGAGAGGTGTTCCCCCATTGGGGTAAGTGGGCACGGGGCGCTGGGGCCAGGAGGCTGCTCCCTGTCTGACCTCAGGAGCCCGTGGTCACAGGGCTGGGGCCTGTCTAGGCTGACTGCCACCGGGGCTGTTACTGCTGCCTGCTGGAAGGAGTAGTGAGCTCCCCATATCTGGAGGCCTTACAGGTGATGATTTGGAGTCTCAGCGTGCGGAGCTGGGGCAAGCGGCTTCCCCTTTCTGGCCTCGGTTTCCTCATCCATAAAATTTGAGGCTTGGACTCGATGACCTTGAAGGTCATCAGGTCACAGTGGGCTGGGGAGAGGAGGAGGGTGGGTGATGGGTGTGGCTGTGGGTGCGGGGCACCTCCTGGCCCCTCAGTGCCCCCTCTCAGGGCTGCTGCCTGCGGGTCCCTGAACTTGGCTTTTTTCAGTTTTGATCACCCTGTTTCAGTAGAATGGTTTCCCTTTGTAGCCCACCCCCGGGGGCCTCCCAGGGCTCTCAGGCAGGTGGAGGCCTGTCCAGGGGGCCTGCCGTGTTGGGATATCCATCAGGGAGGCATGCCCTAGTGTGGAATGAAGCCTCCCACCGAGGGTACAGGAGGGAAACATGGCCTGAAGTCTGAGGACTGAGGTTCAAATCCCACCTCTCACTGAGGAACCTGTGTGACCTAAGGAAAGTCCCCTCCCCCTTCTGGGCCTCTTGTTTCCTCCTCTAAAACGGAGAGGTTGGACGAGTAGGCCTGGGAGGGCCCTTCCAGGCCTGGGCTAGGGTCTCAAACAGAGGTTGGGAGTCAGAACACCAGGGTCCAAGCCCAGCCCCGCCACTGCTCAGAACCTTGGAGAGGACGAGGCCTCAGGGGCCACCTTGTGCCATCTACCTCTCTAGCCTTCGCTTGGAGCCCTCCAGGGACGGGGAGCTCCCTACCTACCAGGGCAGCCCATCCTCTTTGGAAGGGAGCTGGTCCTTGGGTCGAGCCGTGGCTTCTGCCCACCTTCCCCTGGGTGTGATTGACGCCATGAGGCTCTTTATGGGCCTCAGTTTCTGTCTCTATAAAATGGGCATAATTACAACTGCCCTTCTGACTTCAAAGGGTTATTGTAGGATCAGATAGGGTCCAGAGGTGAGAAGGTGCCCGGGCAGGACAGGTCAGCTACATTACTTTGAGCGGCTGATTCACGGCAGAGGAGGAGGGCCCAGGGCCCGCCTGCTCCGCATCCGCCCTCTCAGGGCACAGCAGGCATTTCTGTCCTTAATGAAAAGGCTCCTGTTTGCTGATTCTTTGGAGCCTGAAGATCTGGGTTCAAGTCTCGCCTCTGACAGACACCAGCCGTGTGCCCTTGGCAAGCTCCTTCACCTCTGTGCTCCAAGCAATCTCTGAGGCCTTCAGAGGAGGTGCTGGCCTGCCTCAGTGGATGGAGTTTCCCCACCTGGAGCTCCCTGCCTTATTTTTACTGACAGCTTTTGTTTTTCCGTCACCTTCATTTCTGAATTGATCTCTCCCTCCCCTCTCCGGGGAGCCACCCCTTATCACAAAGATATAAAAAAGGAGAAAAACAGGTCAGCAAAACTAACCCATGCATTGTGTTGTCTGACTGTATGCCACATTCCCACCCACGGGCCCCCATCTCCGCAGTGAAAGGAGGGGGGTGATGCCCGTTGTGTGACAGCCCTTTGTGGCTTACAGTGTTTGGAGCGTCCTGTCTCTTTCGAGCCGCAGCAGTGAGGCATTAGGGTTCAGCTGTGAAAGAGTAGAGAGAGCCAGATCTGGCACCAGGATCTGGGTTCGAGATCCGACTGCCCCTTACCTCCTCTGTGACCTGGGACAAGCCAGTTTCTCAGGGTTGGAATGGATGCCTCTGAGGTCTAAATTCCAGCTCTCAATCTAAGATCCCGTGAAAACCCGTGAGATGAGTGGTGCAAGCATCGTCCCCACTTTAGAGAGGGGAAACTGAGGCACATAGGTCACAGGTGACAGGGCCATATCCCAAGCCCAGGTTCTCTGGCTTGAATTTGAGCGCTGTCTTAAAAAAAACAAAACAAAACAAAACCCTTTTTATTCTGAATTTAGCAACACACCAAAGAAGAGCCCCGTCTGTTAGTGCAGTCGAGTGAAAAAGCAGGATTGTTCATGAGATCGAGGCTCCGTGATGCATGGCTCACTTTTCTAAGTTTATAATAAATGAATATAGTAAATTCAGTGAAGAGCCTTCAAAACAGGCCTTTGGGGACTCTTTTTTACATTTTTTCTTTTTTTTTTTGTAGGCAGTGGGGTTAAGTGACTTGCTCACGGTCACATGGCTAGTGTCAAGTGTCTGAGGCCAGATTTGAACTCAGGTCCTCCTGGGCCAGCACTCTATCCACCGCGCCCATCTAGTTGCCCCTCATTTTTACAATTTTTAACATAACTTGCTTTCTCTTGTTTGTGTACGTCCTGTGTGTTTTAAAACGTCGCTCCCCCTTCACCCAGAGAGCAGCCCTAACCCTGCTTACGGGGAAGCTTATCCTGGGTCTGGGGGGTGGGGAGGGATGCAGGAGCTTTGTGAACTTGGATGAAAAAAAAAATGGCATCTTTGCTTTTACTGACCAGTAACTAAAATTTAGAATTTGCTTCAGTTATGTCAAAACACTATTCTCAAAGGGGTCCCCATTCTGCCCAGGGGGTCCAGCACACGCACAAGGTTGGGGGTCCCAGGCACTGAGGCCTCGATTCTTTCTTGGCCACCAGTTTAGGAAAGTCACGGCACTTTTGGGCCCCCCCTTGTTTCCCCACCGAGGACAGAGACTGCTGCTGGGCATTTGGGTATGGGGGTGCCTGAGCTCCCTCCCTAAAGGCCTGCCTCTCTCCTGTCCTCTAGGTGTATACTTCTGGAAAGGGTAGCAGCGCGGCCGGCCTCACGGCCTCCGTGATGCGGGACCCTTCCTCCCGCAACTTCATCATGGAAGGAGGCGCCATGGTCCTGGCCGACGGTGGCGTCGTGTGCATTGATGAGTTTGACAAGGTAAGGATGACCCAGGAGTCAGTCAGGGCTGGGGGAGGGGGCAGCGGGGGCCCAATCCTGGGCTAGGCACTGGGGGGTGAATGGTGCCTGCCCGTAGGGAGTCCACAGTCTGGTGGGGGTAGAGTGACAGACAGATAGGCCTATCTCTCTATCCTTCCATTGTTACTGTCTATCTCTCCATCTCTCCGTCTCCCTGTCCACTGTCCATCTGCTTTTGCATCCGTCCATCTAGCATCTCTTCTCCCTCCCCTCCCCCTTCTCCCCTTCTCCCTCCTCTCCCCTCCTCCACCCCCTCCTCTGTCTACATGATACACCATGTTGCAGACGGAGGCCGTAGTGGAGACAGAGCCGGGAAGACATGAGTTCGGGTCCTAGCTGCGTGGCCCTGGAGAAACATTTCACCCTCTCCGAGCCTCAGTTTCCTGCTCCGGTGACGGGTCCAGTGAGACCTGCACTTTCTCCCCCACAGGGGATTGTGAGGAGAAAGCTTTGGAAGCCTTGAAGTGCTAGTAGAAATACCAGTTTTGTTTGAGTTCCCAGACCCCAGACCCGAGGGCACCTCTTGGGGCTGTTTGTCCTGCTGCTGGGAGGCCTCTGACCTCTGGGGCTCATTTTACAAGAGGAAACTGAGGCCCGCGTGGGTCACATCAGGTAGCAGCAGGTGGGGTTTGAACCTCGGATCTCTGACTCCAAATGCAGCTCTTCCCACTGGGCTGCACTGTCTCCTGCACGTGCCACAGTCGGGGGGTTGGGAGCGGGGGGACCAGACCTCAGTCGATGTCTCCCCTGCACAGATGCGAGAAGACGACCGAGTGGCCATCCACGAGGCCATGGAGCAGCAGACCATCTCCATCGCCAAGGTGGGGCTGCCCTGCGGCGGGCGGGCCAGGCTGGGCTGGCGGTGCCCCCAGGGGCTGGGGCTGGGGCTGGACCCAGATCCAGGCCCACCTTGCTGACTCTCCCTGTCCTGCCCAGGCCGGCATCACCACCACCCTGAACTCCCGCTGCTCCGTGCTGGCCGCCGCCAACTCCGTCTTTGGCCGCTGGGACGAGACCAAAGGCGAGGACAATATTGACTTCATGCCCACCATCTTGTCCCGCTTTGACATGATCTTTATCGTCAAGGACGAACACAACGAAGAGAGAGACATGGTATGGACGTCGGGGGGTCGCGGGCCATCGGGGCCGACTCCGTCCCCAAGTCATTTCCCCCTCGAACACCTCAGGGGACGGGCAGCTCACTACCTCCCACAGCCGACATTCTCCTTTTGGGCCATCTCCCTGTAACTGATTCTTCTTGGGTCTCCCCTCTGGGCCCAGCAGAGCCAAGCTCGTCCCTCTTCCATAGCTCTTTAGATACCCAGAGAGCGTCGCGTCATCCCCGCCAGGCCTTCACCACCCTCCTTTATGTGGGGGAGGGGCCCCTCCCTGGTGCCAGGGCGTGTGCAGAGGGGAGGGGGACTGGTAAGGCCAGATACCGTGCTGATGGTGCCTTAGGATTAGAGAGTGTGTGTGTATGTGGACACATACACACACACGTTTACATTTATATTACACATAATATATTTAACATATGTTACATTTGTTATTTATTACATACTTTATGTATATATATACACATGCACGTATTTACATTTATGTTACACATATATTTCATATGTTACATTTATTATATATTTTGTGTGTGTATAGACACACCCACATATGTATATACATATGTGTGTCCACACATGTATAGGTTTACGTTTATATGTTACACATATATTTCATATATATTACGTTTATTATTTACTATATATTTATGTGTGTTAGTATATAGGCACACGCACACAAATACATATCTACATATGTGTGTCCACACACGTATACATGTGTGTTTACATTTATGTTACACATGATGTATTTATATATTACATTTATTATTTCTTATATACTTTACGTGTGTGTACATGTAGGCACACACACACACACACACCACACTGACACACGTGTCTATCTGAAATCAGAGTGGTGTAGTAGTAGAGAAAGAACAGGCCTTAACACCTGAGTTAGAGTCCTGCCTCGGACCCCTCCTGACCGGGTGACCTGCTGTGACCAGAAGGAACAGAGAAGGCCTGAGTGCTGCCTGCTCTGGCAGAAGGACTTTCCCTATCTGGGAGTTCTCCACGCCAGTGAAATCACAGGTTCAATTTCTTTCTGTCTCTGAAGGTTTAATAGCATTTCCCACTAGGACAGACCCTAGAAGCGGCCTCGTCCCTGACCCCTTATTTTACAGATGAGGAGACTGAGGCCCAGGGAGGCCGTGTCACTTGGTTGTTAGATCACAGACCTGGAGCAGAAGGGAGGTCATTTGTTCTCGCCCCTTTTTACAGATGAGGAAACCGAGGCTCAGATAGGGCTTGTCACAGGGTTGCGGAGCCAGCTTCTAATACATGTCCTCCAATTCACTCTTCTTCCCACTTGGGCTAAAGGGATGTTACTTGGAGAAGATTTTTTTAAAATCTTGTGTTTCTCAGTCGGTCAACCACTATTTAGCGCCTCCTGTGTGCCCGGCGCTGCTGCTGGTGGGTGGTGGCCACGAGGGAGAGATTGGAGCTCTTGGTGTAAATTGTTAACTCCCCCTGCTGAGGATGTGAGACCCTGTGTGCCTGGCGGAGTCAGGGTTAGAAAAGGGGCGTTGAGCGTATCCGGCGGCCTCAGGAAATGCGGGGGTCCTTGTCCTTCTGCTTCTGGCAGGGACAGCCCCCTCGGGGCTCCCCTTTCCTTCAGTCTTTAGATTGAGGGGAATAGAGTCCTGAGTCTGGTTCGAATCTCAGCTCTGCCTCGTGTTTCTTGTGGGACCTTCAGCAGTCACTGTCTGGGCCTCAGTTTCCCCAGTGATCTCCAAACTGCCTTCATGCTGTAAAGTCCGTGGTCCGGCCATTCAGTCTCAGATCCCTCCCTGCCCTCTACCTCTGCCTGTGCTCGGGGTCGGGCTGGCGAGTTCACCGTGGGTCCCTCCCTTTGCGCCCCCAGACTCTGGCCAAGCACGTCATCACCCTGCACGTGAGCGCGCAGACTCAGACGGAGGCCGTGGACGGTGAGATCGAGCTGGGCAAGCTGAAGAAGTTCATCGCTTACTGTCGATTGTGAGTCTGAGGGAGGTGGCCGGCGAGGGCTCCTGATGGCGCTCGTCCCCTGAGGATGGGCTGCAAGCAGCTTTAATGATTTCCCGGGCTGTGTCCTGACGGGGGACGATAACGTTTTCCATGGGCTGGTCACCCTTCTGTTCGCGGCTAAATGACCGCATTTCCCCCCTTTTAAAAGATTGGATGAGGCCTGGCATTCCGGTAGTGGCCGAGCGCCCAGTTGTTAGCGAAGGTGGCCGCCTCTGCCTCTGCGTGGTTGGGGGACTGGTGGCGGGTCCCCAGGGTCGGGGCATCCCTTTAGAACAAGGTCACGTCAGCCGCGCCTGGAGGCTGCGAGTCTCCTGTCTGTCCCCCCCGGGCGGCTCCCTGGGTCTGGGGCTCCTTGTGCAGCACGGGTGGGGGGCTGCCTGACCTCCGGGGCCCTTCCCAAGGCTGGCCTCACTCCTTACCCTCTGCCCGATGCAGGAGATGTGGGCCCCGTCTGTCTGCGGGGGCCGCGGAGAAGCTGAAGAATCGCTATATCCTGATGCGCAGCGGGGCCCGCCAGCACGAGCGCGAGAGTGAGCGCCGCTCCAGCATCCCTATCACGGTCCGGTGAGCGGGGGCGGGGACAGGAGCCCGCCTGGGCTTCCGGGCAGGGCACAGTGGGACAGTCGTCTTCCCTGAGGGGGCTTGTGAAAGGGCTTTCTTTACCCAGCCATCCGTCCTTCCGGGAGTCAGGAGCTGGGTTCGAATCCTGCCTCTGAAACCCGTGTGAGCTCACCAGTCTCTTCACCTCAGTTAAGTGACTGAAGTTAAACTGTAAAATGTGGGGGTCGCACCTGCTGGCCTCTGCCAGCCCTCCCGGCTCCAGAGCGAGGGTCCCGTGATCCCGCTGGGCGCCGTCTCTTCATCCCCACCCCTCCCCCCAGAGCCCAGACCTGGACTCACCCACACGCAGCCCACAGAGCCGGGGGGCCCTGGCGTGTGTGGCATGTCCGGCGCGGCTCTGCCTGGTCGGAGCCCCACCCTGGGGCCTGGGGTTTGGGCTCAGGGTCTCCTCTGCCCCCCCCCCCGCAGGCAGCTGGAGGCCATCGTCCGGATCTCTGAGTCCCTGAGCAAGATGAAGCTGCAGCCGTTTGCCACGGAGGCTGATGTGGAGGAGGCGCTGAGGCTGTTCCAGGTGTCCACGCTCGATGCCGCCCTGTCCGGCTCCCTGTCAGGTAAAGGTCGGGGAACCCCTCCGGGGGCCGTCCCAACCGCTCACTCACCGGACCACCCTGGCGGAATCCCGCCTCGGTGTCTTCGGCCGCGAGATGAGCTCTGGTTTATGAAAGGGCCTTAGAAGCTGTCGCGGGCCTAACCGAGGGGCTGGCGGTTCTGGCTGGCTTTCAGGGGCAGCTTGGCCTGGGGAGACACCGCTGGCCTGGGAGTCAGGCTCAGGGTTCCAATGCCGGCCCTTCCACTTCCTACCTGTGTGACCCTGAGTAAAACACTGACACCTCTGGGCCTCACTTTCCCCCGGTCAGACGAGGGGGTGGGGCCGGCTGATCTCTGGTCCCATCCGCCCTGGAGCTGACCTGTGGTGTCGGATGGGTCATCTAAGCGCTGATAAAACGATGGTGCTGGACCAGATGCACTCTAAGAGTCCCCTCCATCGCCGAGGGTCTAGGGTCCCGGATGTCCGTCCGTCCTTCCCCTGGCTCCCGCTCCCAGCCACCAACCCCCCTCTCTTTCCCGTCTGGCAGGGGTGGAGGGTTTCACCAGCCAGGAAGACCAAGAGATGCTGACGCGGATCGAGAAGCAGCTGAAACGCCGCTTCGCCATCGGCTCCCAGGTCTCCGAGCACAGCATCGTGCAGGATTTCACCAAGCAGGTAGCGCCCCCTGCCCCCCGCTCCCTCCTCCCCTCCGTTCTCTCCCTGGCCGCCAGCGCCCTGTCCCTGGTGTTTATTTGTGCGTGTATTTTAAGCACGTAGCTGTTGTCCCCTTGAGGGAAGCCCGCTCGGGAGAGGTCCCTGTTCTCCCAGCACAGAACCCGGCTCAGCGCGTAATTGGTGCTCAGTAAGAGCTTGGCCTGAGGCTTCTGGAAGGTGCTTGTCTAGACATGGGGGGGGTTTAGAATGGAAGCCTCCTGAGAGCAGGCCCCCACTGGCCTACGGTGCCTCGCACGGGGTAGGTGCTTCCCAAAGGCTTGAGGACAGACCTTTGGTCCAGGCCTTGTGTTATAGCGGAGAGGATGTTGGCTTCGAAGCCCCCTGTTTGATAGCTGTGTGTCCTTAGGCCAGTCACCGCCCTGAGCCCGTTTCCTCACCTGTGAAATGGGGGTGAGGGCCAACATCGGTAAAGTACCTACTGTGCGCCAGGCGTAATACACACAGTACCAAGAGCATTGTCGAAATGCCCCTGCCCTGGCTGCCCATTGGAAGGTGGAGTGGCCCTTTCGGGGCCCGAAAGGCACAGTGGTGACAAGGTCCCCAGCGCCGTCCCTGCCACCGGCCCATCCTAAACCCCGCCTTCCCTCGCCCAGAAATACCCCGAGCACGCCATCTACAAGGTCCTGCAGCTCATGATGCGCCGTGGCGAGATCCAGCACCGCCTGCAGCGGAAGGTCCTCTACCGCCTCAAGTGACCTCCTGGCCCCTCATGCCTGCATCTGCGCCTGCGGCCTCATCAGGACTCTTCTCCCCTCCGCCAGCTGGTGCTGTTGCTGCTGTTTCCGGGCCGGCCTGCCTCCCCTTGGGCCCCTGAGGAAGTCCTGCCCTTCGCCCTGGCTCCCCCCTCCTGCGCCCCTCCCTCCCGCGCCGGGCCGCCAGACCGGGGCTCCAGCCGCATGGGGGTCCTTGGGTAGAAGTGGGAAAGTCAAGAGATTTTGGGTGTGCTTGGTCTTGTAACAATAAAGAAGTGATTTGTTTTTGGGGACACCTACGAGCTGCTTCTGGGAGACCTCGAGAGGCGTCGTGTGGGTGTCGGCCCTCATGGAGGGGGGCTCGTCGCCTGTTAGGGCCCAGCTCTGGACCGTGGCCTCCTGTAGGGTAGTAAGAGACTCCTGGAGGTTAGTACCTGCCCGAAAGGGTACGCAGTCGCCTCCCTTTCAGGGAGAGAGCAGCCCACCTGTCCCTTCCTCCTTGTCTGGGGGGACCTTCTGCCCCCAGGGCTGGCTGGAGCCCTCCTCCATTAGAGAACCGCCCAGATAATCAGAGACTAGGCTTTGGGGTGCTGTGTCCCCCTCCCCCCGTCCCTCCATTTCAAAAACAACCCCCCTTCCCAGTCAGGGCGGATTGGCCCCCAAGCACCAGGAGTGAAGGTGACTTGTTCAGGGTCACACCGCCTGGTTGCGTTCCTGCCTCGGCCAGAAGAATAAGATAAAAATGGGAAGCTCCCGGCCGGCCGCACCCCCAGCCTCGGCATCCCCAGTGAGGTGTGAGAGAGAGAGGATGTCTGACTCTATCCTTTGTCTCAGTCGTCTGTGCTGGCAGCCAGCCTCCCCCCTCCGTGCCTGGATCATGGGCCCCGGGCTGGCCCCTCACAGCCCCCGGGGGGATTGTCTGACCTTGCAGAGCCATCCCGGCAGAGGAGACGGGGCTTTGTCCAAACCCAGGAGGGGCTTTCCGAGCCTGGAAGCATCTCCAGCCTCGTTACCCACAGAGAGGCCTTGACTCTTGTCTGAAACTACCCTGGGTCTGTGGGACTGTGAACAGAAGGCCTCTGGTAGGGGGCAAGTGTGGAAACCTCGCCGGGGTGGGGTCAGCATCGGGGAATACCGCAGTCCTTATCCAGGATGGTTCTGGGGATCATGCCAGAGAAGGAGGCCCCCAAAATCAGCTTCACAAGCTGATATCTCTGTTAAATATGATCTAACATCAATTAGATGTATCTAGTTAAATGTCAGTTATTAGTTAAATGCTAATCACGTCCATTAAAATCCCATGAAAACCACAGGATCTCCCCATGTGCTGAGACAATTGATGAAAAAAAAATAAATCGGGGAATCACTTCTCATCTGGAGAGAAAACCAGACGGGCGTGGCTTGGGCTCAATGCCCCGGTGGTGGGGCCGAGGCGGGTGGGGGGAGACTTGGAGCATCAGAGCTGGAGGCGTGGAGGCTTAAAGGGGAAGTCACTGGGTCAGAGTCTAGAAGGGGTGGAGATGCGGCCTACTTCATGTGCCAGGGTGATTCGTGTCCTGGGTGGGATGCTTGGGGCCTCGGTGGGCTTGCCTCTGAAGAGCAATCTCTCATTTATATATCAGTTTAAGGTTTGCAAAGTGCTTCCCACAATAGCTCATCTTAACATCACAAAGTAGGTGCTATTTTCATTTTGCAGATGAGGAAACTGAGGCTGAAGTGAAGGGATGTGTCCCAGTAAATTTCCAAGGTGGGATCTTGCCTGAGGTCTTCCACCGCCGCCTCTACGACCTTGGACAAGTCATTGAGCCTCCGTGGGCCTCAGCGTCCTCCTCTGTGAAGGGAGGGTGTGGTGACTTCTGAGCCTCGCCTCGCTGCGTGTCTGGGGTCGCATGACTCCATTTTCTGCTTCTAAGATGCCAGCTATTAGCCATCCCCAAGATGGCAAGAGTGTGATGATGACAGCGGCCACCAGGGGGAGACAGAGGCCCGAGTACCAGAGCTGCTGGGCTCCATGGCGGCAGGGCCAGCCCGCCGTAGTTTGGGATAAGAATCCCTGGCCCCGGCGTGACTTGGGCCGTGACACCTGCAGCTTCCCGTCCCCTGCTCTCTGCCCAAGGTCTCGAAGCCTTCCCCGTTCTGGTCAAGAGTGGGGGAGCCACGAGGCTAGGGGAGGAGAGCAAGGATCCTTTGTGCCTCAGTTTGCTTATCTGTAAAATGGGGTGGACTGGATGGCATCTGGGGTGTTTCCAGCTCTCATCCTGTGTTTGATTACATGATCTAGGATCCCGCTCCCACCCCCACCCTACTCCATCCTTGTCCCATGTATGTATATATATGTGTACCCCCCTCAGCGCCATCCCCCATGCTCATCTCTATTAAGCAAAAAGAACATGTTTCAGAGGAGACAAGGGTTCGAATCCTGGCTCTAATCTCTACTGTTTCTAAGACCTTGGGGACGTCCCATCCCCTCCACTCTCCCTGGTGATCCCTAAGGCTTCTTCCAGTCTGATGGCAAGCTTGGCACAGACGTGGGCCCGACAAGCCCAGAGAACCGCGAGGGGATGGGCTGGGCCTGGCTCCTTTGAGACCCTGCTTCCAGTGACTCTTTCTGCTGCTGTTTTCAGAAGGCATTATCAACTGCAGGACCTGCGTTCAAGGTCTCCTCCTGCTATTGTCTACCTGTGTGACCTTGGACAGGTCATTTCCTCATCTGTAAAATGAGGGGGTTGGATCATCAGTAGTGTCAGTGGCTTAGAAAACCACAAATTAACATTATCTATGTCATATTGCATTTTTATTTCTTTTATTAAACATTTCCCAATTGCATTTTAATCTGGCACTCAGGCTGGCGCCAGGTCCCCCTAGATCAGATGGCCGTTGCCAGTCTCTTCTAGAGTCCAATCTCCAATTCTTGGATTCTCCTTCTTTGGGGCCTTTGGCCTCCTAACGGACCCACTTGAGAGGCGCCCTGGGCTGGGGGTCAGGAGGAAGGCCTGAGTCCTGGGGAGCTCCAACGCGCTCCTCTCCCGGATGCAGCAGCGGGGTGGGAGAGATGGGGTTCGGGCTTTGGAGTCAGAGGACCCGGGTTTGAACCCCAGCTCAGTTACTGACCCGCAGGTCACTCTACCTTCCTCAGCGAAATGAGCTGATTTTTTGAGGATGGTGTCCAGCTCTCAGGGTGGATGGGGACACATTCACCTTCGTCGTGTTGTGGCCCTCTTTGAGAACAAAGGAAGAAACACCAAAAGTGTGCGGGGGACGGGGGGTCCAAAAGCTGGCTCCTTTCCCATTGCGGGGACGAGGATATGAGGGTGGTAAGGGGCATGGTCAGCCAAATGAGGCTTCCAGATTCTGGCCTGCCCCTTTATGTTCAACAATCGAGTAAGTGACTATGTTCTGGGCCCTGAGGCTGCGATGACCAAAGCTGTCCCTCCCAGGCTCTCGGAGCTTCATGGAATCATGGCACCCAGCTCTGGAAAGGACCTCAGAGATGGTCTTCTCTAAGCCCCTCTTAGGGCAGCTAGGTGGCGCTATAGTGCACCGAACACCGGCCTGGAGTCAGGAGGCCCTAAATTCAAATCTGGCCTCAGACACCTAACTAGCTGTGTGATCCTGGGCAAGTCGCTTAGCCCTGTTTGCCTCAGTTTCCTCATCTGTGAAATGAGCTGGAGAAGGAAATGGCAAACCACTGTAGCATCTCTGCTAAGAAAACCTCAAATGGGGGCTCAAAGAGTCGAAAAACAACAAAAACAAGTCCCTCTTACAGATGAGGAAACTGAGGCCCAGTTAATGTACTGTATTTTCCAAAGTCAGCAGGCAGGCAACAGGCATTTGTTAAATGGTTACTGTGTGCTGGGCACTGGGCTAAATGATGGAGATTCAAAAGCAAAATTCAGTCCCTGCCCTCAAGGAGCTTACATTCTAATAGGGGGATTTTGAGCATATAGGTAATTAGGTACTTGTAAGATATGTAGGAAAGGAGGAAAGAAGGGAGGGCGGAAGGAAGGAAACATTAGGCAGGTACTATGTGCCAGGCACTGTGCTGAGGGCTGTAGATGCAAATATAAGCAAGGATCCTGCCCTCAAGGAACTTACACTCTAACAAGGAAGACAACACACCAAAATGAGCAGGGTTGGGGGTGGTGGGTGGGAATGCAGGTACCCAGTGCGGGAAGGGTCTTGTAGTCTGGAAGCCAGGAACAGGGCCCAGAGGGGAATGAAGGCAGGCCTGGACCTCTCCCCAACATGGAGACTCCAGAAGGAATTCCCCAATGGGAGAAGAAGATGGCCCTTGCAAAGAGATGCTCTAGGTGGAGAAGGCTAAAGGGATACTTGGCTATTCCAGCATGGGGAAGTCCCAGGCAGGGAGGGAAGTTCCAGGATGAGATGGCGTGATTTGGAAATCCAAGAGCCAGGAACAGGAACACAGGATCTACTTCATCTACTCCAACACCTGTCTTTTCCAGCAAGAGGAAGGATCATCCACTCTAGGCATCCTGAAGGGTCTATGAGACTCTTCAGCATCCCCCCCAAAGCCCAGGCCCCTCCAGGGCATTCAGTCCAACCCAACAAACACTAATTAGAGGTCTGAAGTGTTCCAGGAACTGAGTTAGGGTCTGGGGACCCCAAAACAAAAGGGAAAATGGCCCCCGCTGTCTTGAAAGGCACTCCAGCCACACTGTCTGCTGGGCTTATCTGCCCCTGCCCGGCCCATCCCCAACAGCCTGTAGGAAAGACAGAAAAGAGCCAGCTCTAAGCTCTCCCTTAACTTTTTCTCCTCTCTTTCCCCCGGGACACTGTGGCTGAACCCCGTGGGGCCCAGGCCTCCCCTACAGCTTCAGGATTCACAGTCAGTGGGGTTATTATATAAGCTGAGCAGAATAGGAGAGGTGTTTTGACAGGCCTATTCCCGAGCTCCCACACTGGCCTCACCCACAAGCAGCAGAGTTTGGGGGTGGGGGTGGGTGGGAGGTGGAAGGAACAGCTGAGAACAGCTGTGCAAAATATGAAGCTGCTTCCCTCGCATTCTGCACTAGAAAGAGTCAGATTCCACGGCATGGGGCTGGGGGGTGCTCTGAGCCAAGACTGGGCCCCCTCCTGGGCCCTGCCCAGCCAGACCTCCCCACTTCTCTGGCTCCCGGGGCTCTGGTGGTGATGGGGGCAATCGTCCTACAAGTGTCTGAGCAGGGACCTCCTGACTCCCATACCTGTCTGACATGGGGCAGTCACTTACCTGCTCTCTGATCTCAGTGGCCTCACCTGTAAAATGGGGAGAGGAGCAGGGAAGGAAGATGGGACGAGCCGGTCACTGAGTTTCCTTCCAGTATGACCTCCTCTGACCCTGTGGGGCTGGACAGCGCCTGGGCCCCTGCGTCCTTAACTGCCACTGTCTGCCCCCTTACCAAGGCTCCAGAGGCTGGAATCAGGCTCGATTACAGGAATTGTTCCAGGGCTGGTTCAGGGCCAGGTTGGGGGTGGACACCAGGAGAAGGGCCCAAGGAAATTGGGTCCCTGGGAACTACAGAGGGGCAAGGCTGGAGAAGGGAGGGAAGGTGCCCACAGCCTCACCGAGGCATTGTTCCCAGCACGTGCTCCCCGGGGGCGCGAGCCCCGCAGCTGACCGCCCCTTTCTCTTTCCTGACCCCTTCTTTCTATCAGAGCAGAATTTCGTTTATCCCACTTTTAGAGTGGGAAGGAACCAGAGGTCGTGCAGTTTGGAAGGGGAAGGTCTCAGACTGAAGGCAGGAGGGAGCTGGGTTTCAGTCCAGGCTGTGTTTTAGTTTCCTCATCTCAGCAGAGTCAGTTCAAGTGCCAGTTTTGTAGTCAGATAATCGGGGTTCCCATCTCTGCCCTTACTGTCTGGGTGACTGTGGGCAAGTCCCTTCCCCTCCACGGACCTCAGTTTCTTTATTTGTAAAATGAGATGGGTGCTCAGCTCTCAAGCAATGACCCCAGTGACTCACTCCCTGAATTTAAACAGAGGACGCCTGAGGTTCCTTCCAGCTCAGGACCCTATAGGGCTTCTCTGGGCCTCTCTGAAGTGCAGAGATTAGACTCCATGGCAGCATAGTGTGCTGGACCTGGAGCCAGGAAGGCCT